GGATTGACAATACTGAAGATATATCAGCCTCTTAGCTAAAAATTAGCCAGCTAGCTATTTTATAGACAAATATAGATTGCTCCTATATATAGTAGATCTTAGTAAACTATGCTAATCCCTACAGGGGACTTAACTTTAAAAATCACTACATTGAGTTTTTATTTTCCCCTGGCATCATAAAATTCCAGATGCCACAGCAATTACTGCAATGTTAAGTATGAATCATATAGTTTCATTAGAAGGAAAAAAACCAGTGATCAGGAATAACAAGCTTACTAGATTAATAAAACAGCAAATTTACTTTCAAATGATAGCATGTGTCTGGGTCAATGCACTGCAGCAGGGAAGCAAAACATAATTGTCAAAGATTCATAATTACATTTTTCCTGACTCAAATGACTTAAAATAAAAAGCAACCTATCTTTTCGTGCTTAGTTCTACACACAGACGTTTGAATAGAGTCGCCCTGTGTGCTTGTGCCTTAGTTATCTGTTATTCTAATAATGTTAACCTATGAGGGGTATCACACTGCAGGCCAGATCTGGTCTGCAGGGTGCTTAGATCTGGCCTGTGCGACCACCCTGGAAACAGTGAAGGACCGCCTGCAGTGACTCTGCCAGCAAAAACAGAGCTCAGGAGGGCCACCACAGGAGGACTTCCCAAACCACGTTTTCACTGGCAGCTTGGGCCACTGTACCGCCGACACGAGTGACATCAAGCTGACCATGCCCACCCTGACCACGCCCACCCAGTCCTGAGGTGAAATACAACCTTGATGTGGCCCTCAATGAAATCGAGTTTGATACCCCTCATCTAGAGGCATCAAAGTGTTTACAAGGTTTTGATGAAAATCTAATGACATTTTGGCCCTTCCAAATTTTGCAAGATCATAGGTGGGAAAATGCACATTTTATTTTTGTTAAGAGTCCTTTGGAAGCACTTTGGAGATCACTTATACTTTGGTGGCCACAGGCTGTATGGTCCTGACCTCTGGCTTAGGTAATAATTCCCAAAAGTTAACACTGTTAACGTAGTGCCGTAGTTCATATAAAGAAAAGCAATGCTACTTATGAAATCATGGACATATCTCCCGGATATATTCTATAGCAAGGGTGTCAAACTCAAGGCCCATGGGCTGAATCCAGCCTACAGGGTGCTTAAATCTGGCCCGTGGGGCTGGACTGGAAATATCAAAGGACCACCCCGCAGTGCCTCTGGTGGCTAAAACGGGCTGCATACAGTTCCCCCATGCCTCATTTTCAATACTCCATGGCTTCCTGCAGCACTCTGCCGGGCAAAAATGTGCCCCAAAACAGGCTGAAAATGGGATGAAAAATGGGCTGAAAACAGGCCAAAAAACAGGCCCAAAACAGGCCCCCAAAATGGGCTATATCGCCCGTTTTCAGCCAGCAGATGTTGCAGAAGGCCATGGAGGGCAAAAATGAGGTACAGGAGGGCCATTTGTGGACCCCCTGTCCCCCCTTTTGGCCAGCAGGGTGGTGCAGGAGGCATCTGCCCTGATTCCCTGCCGCTGACCCCACCCCGAAGAGGAGAACTACAATGCTGATCTGGCCCTCAGAGAAATCCAGTTTGACACCCCTTTAACAACTGTTCAAAGTTGCAATGGCCCTGAAAAAAGTTACTTACGATCGATCCTCACACTTATGATCATCACAGAATCCCCAAATTCGTCTGATCAAAATTTGAGCGCTTGGGTATCGGCGTGCATTTACAATGGTTGCAGTGTCCTATGGTCATGTGATCTCCATCTGTGACCTTCCAGCTGGCTTCCAACAAGCAAGTCAATGAGGAAATCTGGATTTGTTTAGTGACCATGCGATTAACTTAACAATTGCAGGGATCCATTAAAATGCAGGGATTTGCTTAACAACCATGCAAAAAGATTATGAAATAGGGCACAATTCATTTAGCAACTGTCCTGCTTAGGAAATTCTGGTCCCTATTGTGATCATAAATTGGTCCCTACTTGTTGAGAAGTAGCAACCTCACTTCTGATTATTATTTTTTGATCTTTACTGTATTATTTTAGGAATGCAATCCTATGTTGAAAATCATCCAATTGAGAAATTGGACAATATTGGTAGACATTAACCTGTGGAATATTTTTACTGGCCTAGAACTGCTGGCACAACCCAGAGATGCATAAAATGAAAGATGATAATTAAATATTATCAAGAGGAAGGCAAGGTGAAGGCAGAGACAAAGGGGACCACAGCTATAAACAGTTTAGGATTTGTTTGCCTAGTCCTAACATGTCTGCCATCTTTATGATTTTTATTCTGTTTTTATTTTTTCTAGTGCATTTTTCCATTTGCTCATTGACAGAGCAAGCACTGGAATTAGCAGCCATTTTATTGGCACAGAGGTAGCAAGGATTAGGCATAGATGATTGGTCATAGAAAAATGAAAGGCTGCTTGATCCCACAGTTACTTTTGAATGACAGCTCCCCCAAATCTCAACGAAATGCTCTCTTCAAAAATTAAAATCATCTCTTGAATTCCATATGGTATTTTCTTCATTAAAGGCAAGACTCCACCAAGAAGTATTCATCAAGAAGCCCCAGTGAAATGAATACATTTGAGCAGCCTGAGTTACAAAGGGTCCATTGTCATAAATCTTCAAACTCTGGCAATTTCCTATGGTTCATAGTAACATTGTGTCTACTTCCATTAAGACAAGCACCTCCAGCACTAAAAAGACATTTACATTTTTTTCTTTTGTATTTATTTCATTAGATGTGACATCTCCTTAGATCAGTGGTGGCTAACCTTTTTGGACTCCTGTGCCAAAAATTGTGCACACGCTTGCATGCCAGCACCCAGAAGGCAATGCACATGCTCCCCTGAGCATGCACCCCCATGCGCCGGGCATCTCTGTGCATGTGCATGAGACCCCCCTGCATGTCTCTGTAGATGCGCATGTAACGCACGTGCCCTCCTGCTCCCCCACGCATGCACACCAGATACCAGACAGTCAGCTGCCAGGCGGGTAGCGCGGCACATGCGCAGTAGGGCTCTTCCGGGTGACCTCTTGCATGCTGGCAGAACTGGCTCTGCGTGCCACTTCCGGCACGTGTGCCATAGATTCACCATCACAGCATTAGATAATGCAGCATTTCTCCTCTGTTTCTGCCTAATACAGAAACATGGTGGCTCAGTGGCTTAAAAGAGGCCACCAGAGAAGGTCTGTGGTCCAGTGGTTTGAACACCACATGATGGAGTGAGTTCCTGTCACTCGGCTCAGCTCTTGCCAACCTAACAGTTTGAAAGCATGTAAATATAAGCAGATAAATGGGTACCACTTCAGTGGGAAGTTAACAGCACTCCATGTTTTGCCACACTATGCTGTGGTGTGATGTAATGCTGGCCACATGACTGGGCAAAACTTCTTTGGACAGCACTGACTCAATGGTCTACAAATGGAGATGGGTACTGTCCCCTAGAGTTATTACTAACAGAGTCAGTCAAGCCTGCAGAGACTTCTTTACCTATACCTGTGCCTAATACATCTTCCATATCCAGATCTCTAAAAAATAATAGTTTTAATTTACACCAAAAAATGGCGCTGAATGTGTTAACCCTAATGCATGCTTCGTATACACAACTTTTTTCTTTTACTTTTCATTCAATAAAAAAATACTTCTAAACCACTTAGCAACTGGAGCTTGCCAAGCAATCATCAACACACACATCTCGTGTCTGATGCTGTAAATCACGGGAAGGCAACCAGGTAGCTGTAAAGAATATCACTCCATCCAATCCTAGGCATGGCTTCAAATGCCTACTGCAGGCAACCATTTGAGAATCCTGACAAAAGTGACCTGTTTCTTCCCTGTGTCCTGCTTTGTGAAAAAGGAAGAAAGGAAAGAAAGACTGTAATACAGAAAATGAAAAAAGGAAGAAAAGGAAGGAAGGAAAACTTTGGCCATTATTGTCATGTATGAAGGTCAAGTGTCTCCCCAAAGATTGCTGTTGTGAGAACATGGCCATTAAGAAAGAAAAACAATACCCTAACGTTCATTCATGTACAGTAATTGTAACTGGTGTTCGACTCGGTATCATTGGACTTAGAAATCAATACATTAAAAGTGGTCCTCAACTATTACAACTTACAACGATTCATTTAGCAACTGTTCGAAGTTACAATGGCACTGGGAAAAGTGACTTACAGCTGGTACTTGCATTTACAACCATCACAGCATCCTCACGGTCACGTGATCACAATTTGGGTGCTTGGCAATCAACGGTTGCAGCATCCAGTACGAGCCTCTGTGGCGCAGTGGTTAGAGTGCAGTACTGCAAGCTACATCTGCAGCCAGCTGCCTAGAGTTTGGCACTTCAAGGTTGACTCAAGGTTGACTCAGCCTTCCATCCTTCCGAGGTGGGTAAAATGAGGACTCAAATTGTTGGGGGCAATATGTTGACTTTATAAACTGCTTAGAGAGGGCTGTAAAGCACTATAAAGCGGTATATAAGTCTAAGTGCTATTGTTATTGCTATCCTGGGGTCATATGATTGCCGTTTACGACCTTGCCAGCCAGCTTCCGACAAGCGAACTAAATGGGGGAAGCCAGATTTGCTTAACAATTGTATTATTAACTTAACAACTGTAAGTGATTTGCTTAACAACCATGGCAAAAAAAGATCATAAAATTGGAACTTAACAACTATAAGTGATTTGCTTAACAATTGAAACTCTGGTCTCAATCATAGTTGTAAATTGAAGACTACCATTATAGATTGTTAAATCTCTCTCTCTCTCTCTCTCTCTCTCTCTCTCTCTCTCCCTCTCTCTCCCTCTCCCTCTCCCTCCCTCTCTCTCTATATATCTACCTACCTACCTATGCAAAGGTTGTATATATTTTAAACCACAATAGTTTAATAATTCAATTTAGAAAGGGAAAGGAAAAGGAGATAAAACAGGAGGTTAATGTGATTGGAAGAAAAAAATGCACATACACTTGTTTATGTTCTCTTACCTTCCAACTACTTTTATGTCAGAGATTGCATAAAAGTGGCGTGTCAAGTGCTGCGGATCCACATATAATTCCCCAGTTGCTGGCCTGAGCAGTCTTATCCTCAAGTCTGTGACAGTAAAGAAATCTCTTAGGTTCTTGGTTGTATCGAGCTGCCCATAGAGAGAAGCCATATTATGAAGCCGAGGCCCAGCAAAAAATGCAAATCTATCCTTAATCTCAAAGTGGAGGATCTTACTGTTGGCCATGTACCCCGTGGAATATTCTTCTGTGCAAATGATTTCTAGGACTGTCTGTTGAGATAAATCCCTCACTGTTTTTGGTTCCATGTTAAAATCATTTAGACAATCTGTAGCATAATATTGGTATGGTTGCCACGTCCGACCATAGTCGAGGGACTTCTCCAGGATCATTAGGTCTGGGCGGCCGGATTCAAAGGTGATGACTATGTTGTCCGTGAGTTCGATGGTTTTGTTCCAATATAGGGTAATGTTCACTTGGAGAGGCTTTGGGTAACCTTTCCAAGTGGTCGATTGCCAAAATGTATAGGGATGCCTTCCTTCGGCATCAAACATCAGTTCGGGTGGATGTGCCAGTTCGTCAATGGTTGCGTCACACTCATTGCACATGTAGGGATTCCCCTGGAAAGAAGGGGAGAAAAACAGCTGTAAGAAGTATGGTCACCAGGATAAAAAGGTTTCTGAGAGAGCAGAGCAACTGGTTTCCAATATCAATAGCCATAGACTTATATACCGCTTCACAGTGCTTTACAGCCTTTCTAAGCAGTTTATAGAATCAGCATATTGTCCCCAACAATCTGGGTCCTCATTTTACCGACCTCGGAAGGATGGAAGGCTGAGTCAACCTTGAACCGGTCAGGATCGAACACCTGGCAGTGAGCAGAGTCAGCCTGCAATATTGCATTTTAACCACTGCACCATAGCTCTTACCTATTCAACCTATCAAATAAGAACTGGCCAATTTTGCCTGCTGGAAAGAGCTGTAGTTTAGGTTAGGTTGGAGAAGTTGGCAAAAATGGTAGTTTCCAGTAACCAGTAGGCTTGGTGGCTGAGAATATTGGGAACTGTTCAGTAACATCTGGAAAACCAACCACAGAGTTTCCACCTCAATTTCAGTAATTTAAGGCATTATTTGATATACGGAGTATCCTTCCTTATGAAATTAATTTAAAAATGGATGGGCAGGGGGGAAGTTTGCAAATGCTTATTCAAAACCAAATTATATGAATTTATTGGATTCCCTTGCACTTCCCAGAAATCCTTTAACTCTGTAGAGTCTCCCTTTAGCTATACAGAAGGGAAAGACTAAATTGTTCTGAGTTGTCACTGATTCACCCTGGGACTTCTTTTATGCCAAGAGTGGGTTCTACCACTGAACCACAGAGTTATAATTCTGGATTTTGGACCTCTTCCTACAGGCCAGATTTCAATTCTTAATTGTAATAGAAGCTTTGCAAACACATTTTTTTCATAAAAGGAAAAGAAAACAATAAAGAGGCCAGGGCTCTTAAAGAACAACAACAATTTGACATTATCACAGATAGAAATAAACTTCTCAAAGTTTGAATTTCAAGAAGCATCCAGTTTTCTGCTAGTTAAGTCATCTATGCAAAGTCAACATGCACAGAACCATGTGGAAGAAGTAAGTTTTAAAGTAGCTGAACCATAATGAGGACAGCTTTCTAGACAACACATCCCCACCTTTGTTATTTCATGTTAAACCCTTGTGCTTCTCTACATGAATGCAGTAGAACACTTTTTTCTACACCTATTATTCTTAAATGTTGCTTGTTTCCCAACATTCCTCAAATATTTAGACCATCTGAATTGCCTTTGTGCAACATGCTAATGGAGAATCTGTAAAAATAGATTTTTGTAAAAATATATATCATTGTGTATGATAACATTCTTAAAGAATTAGGAAAGCAAAGAATGTGGATTTGGGCATAATTTTCAGCTTGTAAACAAAAAAAAAAAAGAATTCTAGATATATGGGACAAGATATGTTTGAAAAATTATGGCTAATTTTTGCTGAAATCTCAAATGTTTCAAAGATAATTACATTGCGTTCAGTGACTGAAAACTGGACCTCAGCATCCTGGATAGCTTTTGACCCAACCCATGAACATAAAATCCAAATTATGCACAACAATTTTAAAAATCAGACGGTGAAAGGGGAGGAACACCAGGGGTGGGATTTAAACTTTTTAACAACCGGTTCTGTGGGCATGGCTAGGTGGGCATGGTGTGGCCATATGACTAGGTAGATGTGGCTTGTTCTTCTTTTCTTTGCAACACTCCTCCCTTTTTTTGCCTCCTGGGCCTCAGGGAAGCCTCTTGGTGGGAGGCATTTTTGCTCCCAGAAGGCTTCCCTGGGGCCCAGGAAGGCAAAAAAATTAGCCTGGGGAGGCCACACTCCATTTTGGGCCTCCTGGGCCTCAGGGAAGCCTTCTGGGGGGGTGTTTTTGCTCCCAGAAGGCTTCCCCGGGGCCCAGGAAGGCAAAAAATAAGCCAGGGGGACACGCAGCATCCATACATGGTCCATTGCTGGGCCTCCTGGGTCTGAGGGAGGCTTCCTGGGGGGTGTTTCTGCTCCCAGAAGGCTTCCCTGGGGCCCAAGAAGGCAAAAAGTGGAGCCTGGGTGTGTGTGCAACCCCCTCACTCCATTTTGGGCCTCCTGGGCCTCAGGATAGCCTCCTGGGAGGGGGGTTTGCTCCCAGGAACCTTCCCTGGGGCCCAGGAAGCAGCAACCCCCCGCTTCCCCCCCCCATACGCCCCATTTGGCCTCCTGGGCCTCAGGGAAGTCTTCTGGGTGAAGCAGTAAGACAGTGAGAGGGATCCTGGCACAGCTGATCATCGGAACAGATGATAGTTGGGAGCGAGGGAAAAGGAATACCTTAAGGAGTTACTGGACAGGGGAGAATGCAGTCAGCGATGTTGGGCATACGTGCATACATATCATGCATGCGTGATAAGGACTGACTGGGCAGAGAGGGGAGGGGCAGGCAGAGATGGGCAGGGCCAACCCGGGGCATGACTTGCTGGTTCTCCAAACTGCGCAGAATCATAACAATCGGTTCTATAGAACTGGTCTGAACTGGTAGAATCCCACTCCTGAGGAACACTCAATTCAGCATTAAAGCACATGTTTCGAATGCAGAAGATAATAGGTTTAATCTTTGGTTTCTGAAAGTATAGTTGAGAAAAAACTGTTTTGAAACTCCAGAAAGTTGCTATTCATATAGCAAAATTGGTTATTCTCAGCATAGAAATCGAATTACTTGGGTTCAGATTCTATTTTACTTTGTTCTCAGATTTCTGACAATAAGAAACTTTCATGAAATCAAAGGCACAGTCCAGCTGTGCTTAAGCACTGATAAATTCTACTGATTCCAGGAGCAAAAAAAGAATTTATTTTGACAGGATTATCATAGTGTTTCTACCAAATCTAGTTATGTCCAGAATCCAATTTTTCCCATCGTCCCTCAGCATTATATCGATGACTATATATTACACTAGCCCAGTGTAGTTATTTTACGGCTGCATTTTTATCCTATCAGACTGGACTTTTCCAATAAAACAAAATGTCCAATTTATTTATTGGAACAAGAATTGTCTAGCCTTGCCACTTGCTTCGACAAAAACCTTTCCACACACTTGTGCGCTTAGGAAATGCTGATGTTCCGCTTAGTAGGATTTCAAGAGGAAAAATTAATATACCCTGAGCAAGCTGCCTATAATCAACTCACAAACGATGAACAACAATGCAATAACTCTGGATTTGGCTTTAGACGTATGCTGTGTTCCTTCACGGAAAGGATATTGCTTATCAGCACAGTTCATATAAACGGTTCCTTCTAACTCAAATGGGCTGGTGCCTATCAAACAGTGTGTGGGAATTCCTTTCTAAAACAAAATGAGTTATACCATCACCTTTTCCCTTTGTCCCCTTGGCCTCTAATATATCATTCCTAACAGTGTGCTCTTTACAGATGTCTTTCTTTAAAGATATTTATGCTGTTGTCTACAAATCATTCCGTGGTGCTGCATACTATAAGCTTAGAGACTTGGTCCAGACTTCTGCTCCCATATTAGCTGCTACAGGCTAGCAAGCTACCTTTCTCTCTCCCTCCTCCTTGCAATCCCGTAGCTGCTTCTTCAATTTATCAAGGCCAGGTAATCCGCCACCTGATTAGGTAGGTGATGACAACAGCTCAGCCTGGATGGCAGCCTGAGGTGGAAGCTGGAGATATGAACTTTGTGTTTATATATAATCTCACCAATAAATGGGCAGCTTTTACTGCTCTTTCTCTGTAGGAAGGTGAGAGTGAATTATTCTCCTCTTGACCTTTTCCCACATTAACTTGAGTTGCTGCCACTTTTGCCTTCACTGCAAAAGGCCATCTCATTTGGAGCCTGGGAGTATAGCTTGAGTATGCTGTTCCATGAGCATTACAACCAGCTCAAAATCCTGTCTCTTAAATCATCCGTGTATCAATCAGATCAGCTGTTGCTGGCAGCTCAAATCCAATGGATTACAAACTGTGATGCATGGCTGCAGCTTAATGCCGACCTTGTTAGTGGCAAGCACAGCACGGACTCTGTGACACTTTGAAGAACCCCACAGTCTTACAGATAGATCTGGATGGAAATGAATTTGGTCCATCTTAAGGTACGAGTCAATTGTTGAGCCAGCATGTAGAAAATTTAAGACACAGAAAAGTGGAAACTTTTTTCCTAAAAAACAATTGCTACCCACCTGCCTTCAATCAAGGACCTGTATACTGCATGAGTCAAAAAGAGGGCTGCGAAAATATTTACAGACTCCTCACATCTTGGACATAAACTGTTTCAACTCCTTCCCTCAAAATGATGCTATAGAGCACTGCACACCAGAACAACTAGACACAAGAAAAGTTTTTCCCCCGAAAGCCATCACTCTGCTAAACAAATAATTCCCTCAACACTGTTCAACTATTGCAAAGTCTGCACTACTGTTACTGTTAATCTTCTCATCACTCCTTATCACCCATCCCCTCCCACTTGTGATTGTAGGTCTGTAACTTTGTCGCTTGTATCCTTACGATTTATATTGACTGTTTCCTGGTATGATTTGATTGCTGATTGTAGCCTATGACTGACTATTAAGTGTTGTACGTTATGATTCTTGATGAATGTATCTTTTCTTTTATGCATACTGAGAGTATTTACACCAAGACAAATTCCTTACTTGTCCAATCACACTTGGCCAATAAAATATTCTATTCTATTCTATATTCTCATTTCACCCCATAACAACAATCCTGTGCGTTTGGCTAGACAGAGAGCCCCAAATTATGAAAGAGATTCTGTGGCTGAAGATGGACTTAAACCTGTTTCCCCAGAACATCCTGAAATGAAGGGGAAAT